AAGTTCAATGAAAAATTTAACCAAAACACTGAGCAGCAAGTAAGTCATTGTCAAGAAGAAAATGCAAGTTGTAGGTGACAGATATCTATGGTATAAACTAATTGCTTTTTTCTGGTTTAGATCGACGGTTTAACTGATGAAGCTCGTGCGAAACTTAAAAATATGCCAGCATTTTTGAAAACTGCATCTTCAAATGTCAGAAGTCAATTTATAGCACTATGGAACAACTTTTCAATGCCAGTAAATGAAAAAATTGAAAAATTTAGGTTGTCTTTTAAATATCAAGTAGAATGTTGTATATTTGTATGATGACGGTTATTTGTCTTTCTCTTTTAGAGAATTAGCTAAAGAACTGTTGAACTCACAGCAACTTGAACTGTTCAAACGTTACGATGAAGAAGTTAGAGACAGAAAAAAGTTAATCGAAGAAAAGGTATGAATATTTTTACTAAATAGTTGCTCACTTAATTCTAGAACTTTACTTGAACAGTGTCATAAATTTTTTGATGTTTAAATTCTTGTAATTGACCACATTTTCAGGTGTCGCAGTTATCACCAGAAGCAAGAACAGCATTTGATCAACTTTCTGATTTGCAAAAGCAAAGATCAACAATATTGAATAATTTAAGCAAAGAGGCTCGTCGAGAAATCAGAGTTTTGCTCAATTCAGTTCGTAGGGCTTAAATAGATGCACTGAACCATAACGGTGCAAGTTGATACCGACAGAAGCGATCGACGAAACCGTCGGTTTTACGTAACTACGACAGACGACTGACGATACCGCTAGCAGAAAGGCACATTTGTTGTCTATCTATTTTCAGATTTAGCCATTTTATGGCTGACTTTTTTGAATCTATGTGTCCTATAAATTATCTTAATCTCAACAATTACTGTTCTGATGTTTTATTGAATAAAACAGGTTTTTGTCAACTAGTTTTAGCAAGTCTACTGCAGGATACCATCGAAAATTGCACTGATATATTGTAGAAAAAACTGTGCTAAAATCATATGAGAAATCAATTTGGTTTTTGAATAAATAAGAGTAATATTTGAATCTCGTATTGTAACTTTTAGCCAGTTTTTAAACAAAGTTTATAAAGCTGTTAAACTGCCGGCTTAAGTTTTCAATAATAACTGTAGCATTAAGTCAACAAAGAACTTGTTGTTTCAGCGAGGCACATTTAACGACATTTTCCTTTCTTACAATGTTGATAAACTCAAGCAAAACATTCTATATTTGTTTCACATTTTTTTTCAACTTATTAATAATCATATTGGCAAATCATTAATTAAACTTATCGTCAACATTTCTTAGTCAAAATATCGTAAAGATGTCACTAAGTGCATAAAAAAACTTGGTGGAACGGGAAGGTCAGGTGATTACCACTGATCAAAACTTTTGATTTGAAATAAAAACAACTTCTTTGACATTTGAGGCGATATCTGTCTTCATATAAAAATTTGTTTTTTTCAGGATTAAAAACTTTACCAAATACACTTTGTAAGAATGTTTTTCTATCTTATATAAATGTAAACTGTATAAGCATTGTAAATTGTCTCAAGAATTCGCGCTTCTCTCTTTTAGATAATCAATTTTTATTTCAATTCTCCGCCATTGTTTTTTTCTTTTTTTTTCTTTTTTGTTTTTGTTTTGAAAAGCTAAAAAAGAGAAGAAACGTACATAGTTTTAAAATTAGTCTCTTTTTTTTTGGTGTAGCTGTAAAATCGGATAGTCTTCTGCGTTACAGATAAGTGAAAATTAAAATTTGACATTTGTAGCCAAACACTTTTAAATTATTTGTCTATAGAGATTAATAGTGTTGAGCAAAACAAGCATTATTTAATTTTTGCTTAAAATGCTTATATTTACTGTCTGTACTTTATTACGCAAAGCATATTGAAAAATACCAATAAAAACAATGAGATAGAAAAGTATTTTGCAGTTTTGAGAGAAGAAGCTATCAGACGGAATTACATAGCAAATTTTAATCTGTCATTTTTATCTGAAGCTTTCAATGACGATGTTTTAAAGCTCCATTATAAAAATAACTTTAAAGTTAGTAGCAGTCAAGCAGTCACGAGTAGTTTTAGTAGAATGTAAAAATTAACAAAAAAAAAAGTTTTCAATGTTTTTAAAACAAAAAAAAAAAAAAATTGTATAAACTGTAGACAACAAACAGAGTCATTAAAACAATGGACAGCCCTCAGACAACGGAGCTCAATTTTAATGCCAATATATCTGTACACTTGTTTCAGAAGCCGTTGCAACAAGTTATCATTTTCTGGAGTCGATAAGCAAAAACAAAAACAAATAATTTGAATTTATCAAAAAAAAAAAAAAAGATTGCCAAGACGTAAATTGAAAGTGTTAAAAAAAATTAGTTTTGTTTGATTGGTAACAAAAAAAAAGAAAAAAAAAAGGTAATATTTGTTTTAGCGGTTAATATTTGCAAATAAGATTACTATCTTAAGGTAGGCCAATGAAGTGAGCCATATTAGCCAAAACAGATGTGACGTTTTCATCGTTTTTGGCTTTGTTGTTCATCAAATTTTATTTTACAGATATATATAAAATTTTTGTTCATTAGTAATTGTATTGAAATATTTTGTACATTTTCATTAAAACTAAAGTTATTTGCTGCAATAAAAATTTCACATTAATTTATTTTATGTTATTCTGTCAGGTTACTTGTAAAATTACCACTACTAATCATATTTTTTTTTTTGTTCAATTTTAAAACTTTTTTTGACATTTATATAAAACGTTTAATGTTAGTATGATTAATTACTGTCAATAAAAAGAGCAAATAATATTTTATGTCAAATAACTCAGTGGTTTGTAGATGCTTGATGAGGCTGGACGCTTTCGGATACGACGGATAGGTAAACTGCAGCGGGCAATTCATTGCTTCAAAACAAGATGTACAGTTGAACGAACAATAAAATCACTATCAAAGTTTATCACAATTCTAGACTGGTTACCAAAGTATAACTGGCAAAATTCATTCTTTGGTGATTTAAGTGGCGGCTTAACTATGGCTGTTTTTACAGTTCCGCAGGGTAACACTTTGAAAACTGTGTTCAAGTTCAAAGTTCAATTTTGAAAGTAATAAACGATTTACGTTTACACATTATTTTATGCTGCTTAATAAAATTAAAATATCATCTAAAAACTGCGCTTTTTTTTTTTTACTTTAGCAATTGCTCAAGCTGCAGTAACTGGGGTGGATCCAGTATACGGCTTATACACTGCAATATTTCCATCATTTCTTTATATATTTTTTGGTACATCCAAACATATTTCATTAGGTATCTCTTTGGATTTTTTTTTTTTTTTTTGCTGCTTAACAAAATATTTCTAAATAGAAATTGCATTTTGAGGTGGTTTTGCTGTACTTTCATTGATGACACATGCAGCAATCGAAAATGTTATGGTTCAACAAGCGACCAGTTACAACTATACGCATTACGTTAATCACAGCCTCTACGAAGTAGAAAATATGACAGAAATAGAGTACAATCAAACAATTTTGAATTTGAATTGGTTGGATAATGAAACAATGATTGAAGCAATCACCACTGAAGAATGGACAGAAGGTTACAGACCCGTCAAGCCAATCCAAGTGGCTACAACTATTATGTTTCTCAGCGGAATTATTCAAGTTTGTAACCTATTTTCCATCAACTAAGCATAAATTTCCTTTACTTATAGTTAAAAATTAAGCTTTTGTACAACAGAATGCAGTGATTCTTCGTTGGTCATTTTTGATTCTCTTCCTAAAATTGTATTTTTATACAATTTTCGATCGAGAAACGACTAAAACGGTACACATAACATTTTCAGTTGTTACTGGGAACTTTTCAACTGGAATTTTTGACTAACTACTTTTCTGATCAAGTCATTTCGGGATTTGTTATCGGTGGTTGCGTTCACGTTTTTTTTGCACAAATTGGTGACCTACTGGGTATTCGTCTGCAACGTCGAGCTGGCCCTGGATATTTGTATTATGTGAACATTATTATTTGGAACTGAAAATCATTCGATCTCTTTTATTCTTTTTAAGCTAAAAAAACAAAAAAATTTTCTAAAATATTTCTTTAACATAAATTTGCAGAGAATAAAAGATCTGATAGCACATTTACACGAAACTCAAATACCAACAGTTGTGATCAGTGCGTGTTCAATAATGTTTCTCATCTTCAGTAAAATTGTACTAGCACCATGGTTATCAAAAGTGTTTCTATTTCCAATACCATATGAGCTTATTCTAGTCAAGTTTTTTTCAACTTTAGTTTTGTTTTTTATTTATTAATCTTTTTGCGAGTCAACAGCAACGTGTTTCAGTATTTTTATAACGTTAACATCACTGCAGGCTGTGATAGCAACGACTGCAACAAATTTTGCAGAACTATCTGACAGATTTTCAATTAGTGTTGTTGGCAATATACCTACTGAGTACTTTTTTATTCATTTTGATTCGTCTTCTCTTCTTTTACCTGGAGTACCAGCAGAAGTTCTGAGTAAAATATATAGTTAATGACTGCGTAATGAGGTGTTTCCAGCAGCACTGTTGAGCAGTTCTTTATTAGTAATTTTATTCTTTACAGATTTCCATTGCCATCAGTACCTCGTTTCGACTTTGTAACTTCGATTATCCAGCAAGCACTCGGTATTGCTGAGATTGCTCTCGCTGTTCACGTTACTGTGGCAAAAATTGTAGAAAACCGTTATGATTACGGAATTCCTTGTAGACAGGTGATTTGTACTGAGAACCTTAATGTCATTTGTTCATTCCTGCATCCTAAGTGTGGTGTCGTGGCTATCGGACACCTTCCTAAAATGAAGAATCACTACAGTAGTAATGCCCCTACACTCCCAATAAGGGCTTTCCTAATAATACGGTATTCTTACTGTCGGTCGTAATTTAGCCCTTACTCGCTACAGTACCAACCAATAGACTGTAACCTTTACTGATCTAAGACCCTCAATTTTTATGTTTTAGATCTCCTATAGCTTGACGATTTACGTACCTCTCGGATGATACCTTCTCACTATGTTGGAGCTCTTTCTTACAGAGTTCAACCCCTTTATCCTTACGTCACCTTTATATTTCACAAATAGAAATTCTGGTTGTTACTGGTTCACACTCAGTACTATACTAAAAAGAGAAATATAAATTATAAATGAGAACAACTTCAGATCTATTAAACAGATCAGCAGCTGCCTACTGAGCACTCATTGACAGAAAATAGTATTATAAACTGAGGTAGACAGTCGCCGATGAGCAATCAGTTTTGACCGGAAGGAAGTACGACCTAGAACACAACCGCAATAACAATAACAACAATGACAAATTTCTTGATTACTGCCTCTTTTATACCTGACTTCCGTTCACCCAGGTGGTCGATCTGCATTTGTTTTGGCAACTTCCCCTTAGGGAACTACAGTAACCTTAGTTTGCCTATGGTGCCCGTTGCAAGCGGTCGCGACATGCGTTGAGGTCGTTTACAAAAAAAAAAAAAAAAAAAAAAAAAAAAAAAA